TAAGAAATGCCAGCTGGAACCAGGCCGTTTGTGCTTCCCCGAAGAGAAGAATATAGGGGTGGTTAACTAATAGCTGGCTTCGAATCGACCGTGACGGGCACAATAACCCTCATCCGCAGCTAGAAAGCTAGCCCAGTGATGTCGTCAGAGATATGTAGCATTGGATGGATGATGTATCCGGTTGGTGGCTGGAGGCTGCGATCGGAAAGGATAGGAACGGAGCAGGTACACGGCAGACAGCGCCAATCTGCATACAAGCCACGGGTACCTCTCCTCGAATGAATTGAGAGTAACAAAACCAACGCTGGCGCGCAAAGTATTAAAAGGAGAACAAGTATGATGATACGATGCAAGATAAACAAAGCCCTCTCTCCCTCTCCCTCTCCCTCTCCCTCTCCCTCTCCCTCTCCCTCTCTCTTCCTCTCGTCTTTTTTCCCGCCTCCTTTGGCTATTCCGCCGTTTGGCAGAAGCCAGTTTTATTCCAGAGCGCTGGGACGACGCAGCGCAGCAAGCTTAAGCGTTGTAGAGATAATGCATCCTTATTAACCAAATTAATATAATTACCCCGCTCCACCAATCGCCAGAATAAAAGGTTCGATAATGATTGAGAGAACCTGAAACGCCTGGGGTGATTGTGGGTGAGAAACCTGGGGAGGAGATCAACAGAGAGAGAGAGAGGCTGAAGAGGAAGAAGATAGAGAAACCTGGGGATGTTGAATCAAGATGCGTTGTACTTGAACCATCAGACTCATCATATTTTCTTTTCGCCTTTTTTCTTGTAATTATGCTTGTTTCACCCCCCTTCCTCCTCTCCCAGGTCTGAACTTGGCCAGATACTGAATAACATTGAATAATATCAACAAATAATTAAATACCAGCAGGGCAGTGCAGTTTCCAAGACGTAAGAGATATATATTCAAGCGAATATTGGAGCTTGCCCCCCCCCCCCCCCCCGGGGGGCGCCCCAAAATAATTACCCGGGGGGAATATTTTCCTTCCCAGCGCCATTCAGTTAAGTAGTTACCCGCCCTGTCTCCACCCAGGAACACGGACTACCTGAAGGCCGAAGAAATTTGTAATCGGTGCGAACTGCCAATTGCCTTCGAAAGATACCACCAACCTTTCATTCAACATTCCATTCCCAGTAAAAATGGATATCCCGGCCGGTCCCTCACAACCAATTTCAGAACTCAACGCCGCAACATGCTAAATGTCCAAAGATAAGCATCTCCCCGGCGATTGGCCACCAGCGCGCCCCCATCCCCCCCCCCCCCCCCCCTGGTACAGTGACAAAGCCCCAAAGCTTCGAGCTGCAGGCTGCTAGTCTGCTTTGCGCCGCAGCTGGGGGGCTATTACGTACAGCTTTCGTGAAGGACCGCGGCGCCGGAGGAGGTTCCAAAAATGTTTGGATTCCCAAGCACCGTTTGACGACGCACAAATCATGCCACCAATTCACGGTAACAGAATGCAGGAAACACTCTGTAGGAAATAGAGGGAGAGACTCGAACTCACAGTATTCGTTATCATTATTAAGAAGCGAGAAACATTTTCAGATTTGCAGAGACTGCGTTGTCTTTTTAACATATTATAGACCTAGTAACTAATCGTGAGAGTCTGCTAGTTAGTTCGATCAATTCTAACTTAGTGAAAATCTAGTCTGTTGAATTGGTTGTTCGCTCACATCGGAATTTTTACGTTACTCACGAAGAAAAGGGGTTGGAGGCTCTGAAGGAAGAGGTGTAACTTCTGAATATTCTCGGCTGGGAGGAGAAAAAGGATTGAATAACTGTAACTACAGTCGAATGTGATTTGAAAAGCTGAACATCGTTTTAAATATGCTCTTAATGGAGTGATTTTACCGTGTCTCCCAGATCCTTACCCCTTAGCTAACCCTAATCATCCCCTAGTCAGACCGTGTTTATTTCAGTTGACCTGAGTGGGCCCAACTTATAAACCACTTTCAACTTGTAACCGCGGATTATAACATACAAAGATTGGACCGATGATGTATGTTTATTATATACCCAAATAATAACAATAATAATAATAATAATAATAATAATAATAACAATATACGGCTATGGAGAAGTTCTGAATTGAAAAAGACGGAAATCCGGATCCCGGACACTACGGTAAGTAGCCGACAAGAAAAAGAGCAAAGAAAAGAATAAGAGCAAAGAATCGTTAGCAAAACTGGGAAAGGTGAAATAGATAGGTAATCGCATAGATCTTGTTTCTTTGGCCAGGTCAAGATACATCATCTTTTTTCCAACATAACATTCTCTGCGTATTATGTGTATCCTGTATCCACGAAAATCTCCCCAAAAATTATTCCAAATCCTCCCAAAAATTCAACTTTTCACAGCATACCTGGGTTTGCACGCCGCAACCTTCTTCGCAGGGTGTGTAATATCCTTAAACACCTTCCAATCACTAAGCGTCGGGAAGTGGTCCCGCTCAGCGCCATCGTCCGCCAAAGGCACGACATCACGTTTCGCAATCGTAATCTGCAGTTCCTGCGAGCCGTCCATTGACGACCGCGAAAACTCACCAGAATCAATAACCTTGCCGGTCAAATCCTGCACCCGCCACTGAAGATGCTTCTCCAGCAGCGGCAGGATCGTGTCGTCATCCAGATCATAAATCAGCTCGCTACTCTGCAAGAGCGCGAGCACATGCGACAGCGGAATCTGGCCGTACATGTCGCGCGTCATGTTGGCTGGAGAGTCCTGGGAGGAGGCAAACGAGGCAAAGGTGCCGATCAGGTTGGGGGCATATGACCAGTCGCATGATTCCTTGGGTGGCTCGGAGAGAAAGAAGAAGATGCGATATGCATGTGAGATCGCGAATTTGTTCGCCCTGACGTTGAGGACCCATTGCTTCTTCAAGTTGTTCATGCCTAACTTGACGAAGTCGAGCAGACTCGATTTGCCTATGTCTTCGAGAAAGTCCAAGAGCTTGAAGTTGAGGTTCTTCAAATCGTCCAGGGTGTCCTGGGCGAGATTGGGCATGCGCTTGTGCTTGATCACCCCGTCGTAGTCGTGATGGTGGTGGTGGTGGTGGTGGTGGGGGACAGCGCGGGCGCTGAATTTGGGACTGCGCTTACTGTTATTGCTGCTGCTCGCTCTGTTATACAGGCGGTTAACCTCCCGGCGCACGTTTGTGGTCAGTTGTTGCTTGCTAACACCCCAATCCTTGATCTCAGAGTAGGTATAGCCAAAGGATCTGGTGTTCCGGGAAGTCATGGCGTTGTAGAATTGATTGCTGGGGTCGCGGAAAGGTGCGAACGCTAATGAAGATGGTTAGGAGCTTTTGCTTCTGCCATTTTCAACACCTCACGTATCATGGTAGTTGACCTACCCGTTGTAGAATCTTCCATTGTTCCAGCCTTTCTGATAAAATCTGTCCCGCTGTTAACTAATGGTTGTACATAGGAATCCGGATGCAGCGCTTGCCACAGAGCAACAATACGGTCAACGTTGCTACAATATATATTAGCGTTGCCACCGTCAGTAGGAGAGGTAAGCACGGAATGGTGGTTAACTAACGTATGGTGTAGCCAGAAGATAGGGTCATAGGCGGACCAGGGGGTGTATGTCATGTGTCCACCACTGCCCCCGACGGAGACGTGAACGAGACCATGAATGTTCTCCAGGTTGTTGTAACTTCCACCGCGGTTGGGGAGCGAATCGGTGGAAAAGACAGTGTAGTTGGTCTCACCAGCTAGCAGTTGGTAAGTGTTGATTCGAATGCTGAATTGTGTTGTCAGTAAAGACTGCCGAAATAATAATGCTGCTGAAAAAATATGACGTACTGAGCACCGATCGAGATCAACGTCCTTTGGATGGACTCAATTTGAGATTCTCCATCATCGTTGGGGGTGCGAACGGTGACCGGGTATTGGCTAAGCTGTGGGCTATGTCAGTCGAAAGTCCACACAACCGCAGAGGGAATACTCACCATGTCGTTGGGGAAAAATTCTTCAGCGGACGGCCTGACTGCATAGTTGTAAAGTGGGTTTGGAATGGTGCGCATTCCGTTCGGAGAATTAATATTTAGCTCTGGAGTAGTTACAGACCTGGGCATCCGGGGATCGTTGGCCCAGTCCCAGTACGGAATTCTCAGATTCTGAGCCGCCTGTTGGTATTTCCCTCGGACATTTTGAGGGTACAAGTTGGCAATCCTTTGGGCGTGACGCGAGATTCTTTCCTATTATTGATAGCAGTTATGAGGATTTACGTGAACATAGCAGATGTAATATTTAAAAGATTGACCGACAACGAACCTCATACATTGCAAGGTAAGGTCGATGCCACACGGGGAACAAGGTGGATCCGTGGGAGCAGTAACCAGCATTGTTGGTGCCCTCGACGCCGTCCCAGGAGACATAAGGGTATCCGTGAATACCTAAGATCCAAAAATCAGTTATATTTCTGTTGCCACTTCTCCTCTCTCAAGTCCTGGGACCGCGCTCACCAGCAATCTTGTGAAAACTCAGAAGCTCACTGCGGTCCTCCTCCTGGAAAGCTTTGAGGGAAAGAATGTAAAGATCCCATTCAGGCCCCGACCAATGCAGTTTGGTGAGGTCCTTGCGCACAGGTCGTTCACCGGTTTGAGGATTGACGCCGCCTCTTGCACCAGAAATTGTGATTGCAGACACGATGCCGACTAGCACATTCAGCAAGAGCAGCGCTGGCCACCAAGTCGCCCCCATGATTACCCGAAATAAATATCAAAACAAATGAATGAAAACGCAGATCTTATTCGTTCAATTAAAGAAAAACGAGGGACTATTTCCGGTAGAGACTGGAGAGAGGAAGGGAAAGGGCGAAAGAGACAGTTCACATCCGTTCAAGACAACATCGAATTGGAATGTTGTACTGTCAGTCCAGAGCCCAATCAATGAACCCTTCTTCTTCTTCTTCTTCTTCTTCTATTTTTTTTTTTTTCTTTTCCTGCCGTTCAAACGGGGGAGGGCCTCGGATTATGAACACACCGCAATGACGTCCGATAAAGTCGGTGCAGGTGGAGGTGGACGAAGGAATGTGCTTCTCGAAAGTGAGAAGAAAGAGGTTAGAAGAGGAAAGAGGGGAAAGAATGGATGAAGAAGAACCTAAGGGAGACATTATTGATTGGAGCCAGCGAACAAACAAATACGACCCGTACTGGATTTGATTTGCTGTTTTAGGGGGTTTTCCTCCCTCCGTCTTGGGTGGAGAGAACAACCGCCCGTTACACCCAGGGCAAAACTCCTGCTAAGGCTGGTTAGTCAGGGACAAGGCTCCACTAGGGCAGCCATCGGTCGCCTTGGTTTGTGACCATCAAGGATAGTGATGGCACTGATTGGATGTTTTGTGGCGAGGGGACCGTGGGATGGCTGTCGATCATCTGCTGGCTATAACACTGTTTCGAGAACCCTAACCCTGTCGTGGAGAGATGGGAGAAGCTCCCATCGCAGCCCCTGACAACGTCCCAATGTTCCATACTGCCCAAATAACACCAGGAGCAACTTGCAACATAAATTCCCATCATTCGCCCCGTAGATCGTGGATGCAGAGGTTCAGCCATACATGAATACCTGCATCTGTCTCCATGCCATAGCGACATTCACAGTAACCCACCAGAGCGGACAAACACAAAGAAGCACAATCAGATTCATCTACGCGAAAGGAGAGGAGCTGATAATGCTGCTGATCTAGCAGCCAAGCCAGACCTCGTCGGATTCCCATCTCGCCTCCAGAAACATCAGACAGAACAGCTTCCTGGTTGGGGTTTTTCTTTTGTCTCAGCGAAAGGTTTCGATTGTGAAACCCACTTCCCCCGGGGACAACCGACCAAAAAACTATTTAACCAAAACTTCCGGGAGCTAAAAGATGACGGATGTTCTTCTTTTTCCAAAATCTAATCCCTCCTCGAGAATGGTGAAACAAAGAAGCTCATCCAGCTCGAGCCTGCGCTGGCAGTTAGTTTTAGACACCGGCAACTGAGCATCTGTGAGAATTTAGCTGTGAGCGTACGTGGTATTCGACACAAAATACTGTAACTGATCCCACAGATGTAACCAAATTCTTGTGTGTTTTAATATTTGTTGGGTAACCACTGGTTCTCAGGTTGTGAGCAGAGACCTTTTTCTCATCTTCTGTCCAACTGTCAATTGTCCCAACCGAAGCCTGCAACTGGTAAGTATGCACCCGCTGTAACATCGCGACGCACCAAACCAATCTCTGCCGGAAATATTCTTCGTAGATAAACCCGCCGATTGTAAAGATTACGGAGGACCAGATCCTTAAAACTCAAAGCGCTTCTGCAAACCCACCTCGAGGCTGCTGCTAAAATCGACGCGGTAATGACCCAAGACCCGAGTATTTTCCTTGCCTTGCCCTCTCACTTAGTTTAGTTATCCATGAAAGCTGAAAACAAGGGACGAGATCTCCGTTTGTCCAGGTGGCGGTGGTCCGATGCAAAAAGGCAATTTTCAAACCCATGCAACCCCGTGCTGTTTGGCATAGCTTGTGCCATTCTCGTTTCCTGCTTCTCTCTCCCCAGAGTCCAGAGTAGGGGTTTTGTTGTTACCCCCACTCTGACTGTATGTGCTCGATAATGCCTGTTTGTTTCGGCGTTGTTAGATCCTCGTCAGTATACGTTTGAACTGCCTCCTCATATTGAGGATGAGGACGATGGACATCATGATGATAGTCGGTCGGACTGAGAAGTCGGGATGGCAGACGTTATTATTCCATCTGATCCACCCAAACTTAAACTTGTACTTCTGACAGAAGCATTGACAACGACATGCGTTTCAACTGCATGAAGGTCCCTCGCAACAAAAATAGAAGAAAGAGATAAAAAAAAAAAAAAAAAAAAAAAAGGGCAGAGAAACTCATGAGTGGAGATGTGCTGGATAAACATTCTCACTTTGATACAACTCCTGCTCACAAATGGATACTGTTGACATGTTCTCAATCCTAACTTCTGTCCCAGAGGCAGCACACTTCTCTGGAGGATGCAGTTACGGCAGTTTATGCGCAATCCCAAGCCATGCATGGATCTTGTGTGGTGTTTTGTTCATTCAAAAATAAAATAAAATATCAGGTCTGCAGAGAAAACGTGAGGGATATTCTTGAGGTCTACAGAGTACAGCGGAGGTGCATTTGAATGACGGCCAAATTGGGCAAGAGAAGGATATGAATAGCAGAACACCCGTTCATAAGAAAGAGTGGTATTGGAGGAGGAGACATTTCCCATTCTTAGGAGAAAATAGTACGAAGAAGATGGGCTTCCCCCTTTTTGGGCGCAAATAATTGATAGGTCTCCCGTAAAAATATTCTTTCAAAACCAATATCAATGTTGATCGCCCATAATAGGTCTTGAACCTTTTCATGATAAGAGAGAACTTGCGCCGGAAACATTACCCCTTGATATATGTCAGCGACCCCGGGAGATCAAATGTATACATACCCGCCCCTATACGAAGATCCAATAGTCATTCATGTCAATACTCCATCAATTTCGCTCCCTAATTAGCTACTCAATCCATCACTACAGAGATTGAATCAATGTTCTGGTGTTCGCTTCCTGATTTCCTCTCTACCCCTTATATATTTCTGTGGATGAAACCAAACCCGTAGATACAGAATGGGAACCAGTTATCTCCGTTTGATCCATCTTGTCGTGCGCCGAGGTGTGAAGAAAAGAGGGTCGGCCTGCTGGTGATGTGACATGAAGACTTCTGCGGGCTGGGATGAAAAGAAACGAGAAGAAAATAAGACATCAAAGGGAATAAAATAAGATGCAAAGGTAAATAAATAAATATATACAATATGATCCTGATATCAGCGTGTAGTTGGCATAAAGGTTGCCCAACGAAAAATAAGAAAATCATATCAAAAACTGATAGTTAGCGCGTTAGAAGGGATTGAGTATATAGCATGTAACAAAACTTCCGGAGCCTACCCCGAACACACATCGCGTTCAATTAAAATTCTGAACCACTCATCATAACCACGTCCGCACCAGCCATAAATACCACAAACCTCCCACCACCAAAACTTGTGTGAACGGCTTCATAAACTCCGCCCACAACACATACGTGAATCCGCGATGATCGGCACTACCAGCACTACCCCAACTCTTCACACCCCAGCTACGTTCTCTAATCTTCTCATCAATTTCTAAATCAGACCGCCGCAGACTCTCGCTGACTTTATCACCATGGGTTCCAGTTACGTCGATAATCTGTGCGTGCTTTGTCGGACGTAAGAGACTGTCATGAGATGGTGGTGAAGAGGAAGCTGTGCGCGGTAGCATACTGCCGCCACCGCCACTATTGGTAGCGGTGCGGTGTGAGAAGCATTTTTCGCCTTTGGTGGTTGAGGAGGCGCTGGAGGTGCTGAAGGTTGTGGAGGTGGGGGGACTGTTGAGGTGTTGGTGGTGGTGGTGGTGGTGGTGGTGGTGGTGGTGGTGGTGGTAGTGGTAGTGGGGTTGGTGGCTGATGGGGAGGAGGTATTCGGAGTCGTGCGATGTTATTGATGGGTCTTTAAGGGGTTGGAACGTGCGGGAGATAGCGCGGACGAAGAGGGCGACGATGGTTAGGAAGAGGACATAAGCGTATTGTATGAAGATAGAGATTTGGTCGGGGAGGAGGCAGAGGTGGTTTTGGATTGTGGAGGAGGATGATAATCCTAAGCCTGGGTTTATGGATTTTCCCGTCTGAAGGTCGACGGGGTTATAAAGGCTGGCCATTTGGAAGCCTGGGCGACGCACGCCCATTGCCAACGACATGCTTTTCACAGTGATCTCCTTGGGCGAGCCGCTGAATTCACGATGGCTGATTTCGCAGTAGTCGTGGTCGTCGCCGGAGTATACCTGCTTCACACTCGTACCGGCGCTGGCAACTACTTTCTTGCTAATTGTCTCAGTCAGGACGTTCTGATATTGATATCCCCGCGAGACTCTTATCGCGTTTCTTTCATCCTTTCCCGGCAATGGATCGGTGGATGAAGGTGGGAATCGTTCGCGAAGTGGCCCGCAGGGAGTGCCTGGCTCCCGATACAAGGGTACATGTGTAAGAATGATGGTAGGTAGCTCCGCATCAGATGGTGCGGAGGATACAGCAGACTGAGTGGGATTACGGGCATTGACGATCGTGGAGGGCGCTGAATTGTTTTCTACCTTCCCTTGGAGAGCAAGCAATTCTTCCTTTACCGCTCGCGCCTTTAAATTGGGAAGATCCTCCAAAAAATTCTCCGCCTCTCTCCAGATTTCGTCACTGGAGGACGCATTCCCTGAATCCCCAGTTTCAGGATTCGGCTCATCCATCGCGCTCAGTGAAACGGTGTCAACCGAGACAAACGTGTGGTTGCCCAAGACATCGACGCGATTCCCAACGCCAAAATACGTCTGGAATCTCTTGAGCACGGGTTTTTGGATCCCATGCCCAAACCCTAAATCATGATTCCCCGGCAAACTCGCGATGATCTTGCGACCCCTTCCACTTGCCTTGGAATCAATCCCCCCCAACCTCCACGTATCGAAAAACATCTCGACAAACCGTCGATATTCCATCATCCAGACGTCATTCCCGTACATTTTAAACCTTGCCTCTGGACTCGAGCTGCTTCCCGTAGCCCACTCCCTTCCCCCATCAAACAAATCGCCTAGAAAAAAAGTAGTATCCGGTCTTAGGTCCCGCTGAAGAAGCGAGTAAGTTCGATACAAATAGAGATCGGAGTAAAATATCGTAAGTGACGAGAGCGGCCACGGCCTGCCCGGATAAGTATGTGGATCTACCAATTGGGGATCTGCTACGAAGGCAACATGATGGGGCAAAGCTCCTTGCGGCTATTCACAGCATCATTGAGGAGTTGTTAGCCCAAAAATTACTTTCACGCATACCCAAAAAGATAAAACGGATGGATAATAATAATAATAAAGAAGGGGGAGACTTGCCCATTTCTCCCATCGAGCCCAATCGCAGTCCCGCACACTATCCTGAAATACCTTCCGTTCCCCCCACCAAAGAGTCACCACCCACACCAAGATCAAGACAGTTTTCAGCGAGCACACCAGCTTCAACAGCCTCAGCGCATGTCCGCACCTTCTCGTCCGCCTCGTCCCTCTGGTGGATGATGTAACGACCTGCGCAGTTCCGACACGTACCCTCAAGATTCCGGATTGCAAAATATGTGGAAGAAAGTTGTATATACGCTGCGTGAGAGAGGGCGGTTCGATGAAGTGATTGCGGTGGGAATGGGAGGTCATCGTTCGTGTTCTTTTTATGTTCTTTTGCGTGCGTTAATGCTGGGGTGTGGATTTGGGTATATCAAAAACCGAAAACGGATTGATTAGATGTCAGAATGTGGCTGTACGTGCCCCGCCTTGTTTCGTATCTTGCCCTGCGCAAGTATGAATGTATATATGAGTAAAGAGGTGAATGTATACGGAGTAGATATAATTCATTTCAGCCCGTACGTAGATGATAGATATTATAATATATCATCACCGGGGCCAGACGATAAGGGGGAGGCGAACAGCCGAAAGAGCATGGTATTGATGTTAATGCGCCAGCCGCTTCGTTAGTTATTTTCTCAATTCTCCTCTCAGGCACTCTTATTTTCCTATTACCCAACTCGTGTCTGTTTAGCAGCAATACCGTGTGCAGACCATGCTGCTAGCTGTGTCGATGAGTTGTAGGTGTGTCCTGGTTAGGGTTAGGTAGATTGAATATAACGTCTAATTTATATCATTATCTACGTGAATAATCGACTCCACTTTAATTAAACACGGACAGTTTCCGGGTGGAGTTTGGTCTTGCATCCGCCGAGCAAATAAATAGTATGGCAACTGACAATGTAAAAGATCAAAAATGAACAATAATGATTATTCCTTTCACCTGTAAGATAAAAAGGTGTGGAAGGAAAGAAATTCAAAAGTCCAAAAAGCCAAAAAGCCAATATATATATATAAAGTTCAAAAGGCCCTGCAAACCAACAGAGTGCCCGAAACAGTGGCTGGAGACCCACCGGTTAGTTATTTATTTACAGCGCAACAGCGTGAGAAGCAGCTTTGGGAAGCCTGGGGTAAATCTTGCAGTGGAAAACTGTTGATCAAGCTCCACCAGCGGCGCTTTTTGGTGCACGATTGTGTTGTTTCACGCATAGGACGACACGGGAAGAAAATATTTTATTTGCCTGGTGGCAGACGGCTGATGAGGGGGAAATGGGTAACTAGTTATATTTAGTACGCACCACGGGTTTCGACGATCGTGGCCGTGGTTATGGGCTTGCAGTCGTCGTGACTTTGCACTTTTAAGCGCCCGTCTGCTCTTTTCCTGCTCCCTCTCAAGCCGTATATTCATTTAAATACCATGCGCTTCGCTTGCGGGCGAGCAAAGCATTCTCGCTGATACCCTTTCAGGTTGGACGCATATCTCTGTATTCCTGCATTTTCCTGATCTTCCTCTCTCTCCTTTTATAGTCAATATGGAGTGGCCACAGCTGACACTTCAAAACAATCAACCGCATCTGCTCCAGAGCCTGGTTGAAGTCTCCTCTTCGCCAGATTTTATTTATAGCACATGCCGGAGTTGTGGAAACCAACGTCAAAGACGAAAACGATGCACCGCCATCCCAAGCCAAACAATGTTCAGAGAAGATGTCGACGGAGACGATGTCTCTTCCACCAAATTGTTGAATATATCGATGGGAATGAGGCACAAGGTTACATCCTAATCAACATTCACGGTCAATATTTCATCATGAACACCGATACGAGTGGGTACCCGGTCAACTTCGGAAGAGCAGATAGTATGAGCTCTAATTTTAGTCCGGATGCTCCATTCACAACTGACAGTGAGCAGCAAAAGCACTATCCTCATACAGTTGGCAAGACATGTAAAAGATTATCAAGCATCATCTGAAAAGAAGCGCAGACGGAGAGAGACTCTCTTTAGAAAATGTGTGGAGTATAGTGGCAAATGCGGCGCTGATGTCTAAATATGTTATCATCTACGTGAACAATCGATGCCTCTGCCAATTCACAAATGTAAATCCGCCACCATCAGCGGAGCACACTGTACGACTTATGAATCCACTTTAGGGCTTCCTGACTGACCTACAACAGGTGTATCACTAACCCCTTCCGATTTACAAGACGCCTGATAATTATCGACAGCAGGTTGGATGACGGCCTGCACTGCAGCGTTTTGTTTCACCGTCCTGAAAGAAATATGCCCATTCTCGAAGGCTTTATGACACTTGCCCATATTAAATATACCTAGTTTTAGAATAAATATACTTGCACTTTCACTCCTTATGGAATAGTCTTATTTAGAAGAAGGGACTGTCAGAACGGAGTCTAAGCAAGAAAGTAAATATATAAAAAGAACCACAAATGAGGGGAATTTAGAGGTTTAAATGATCTAGAAAACATACTTATGTATTAGCCTAATCAAAACGCAAAGTGCCAGAGTTACTTGGAGCATTGCAAAACACCGGGCGAAAGCAGCTTGCAGTTGCCGTATGTATAGAATTTTATCACAGTTGCTGGTACAACGCCTGTCAAGCTAGGACCTAGGCCCTTGAACAAGCGACGCCGGCCTTTGAGGCGATGGATAGAGCTGAGTATTTCGAACATCTCGCGGAAATGTAGGACGGCAGAGCGGGATAAGAGCAGAAGGGATTGCAAAGGAGTACTTAAGGCGGGCAGCAGGAGCGTCTTCGAAGATGAACTGTAAAGATCGGGCTGCAGCCGAGTTCTTAGGACATCAAGTGGAGATGTACAAAGAAGATCAAATCAACTGGTTAAGATCAGGGGACTCACGCGTCAACAATCAAATGAGTCCATGAAGCCAGAGCATCCAAGGAGGCTTGCCCCAATCGGCCATCAGATCCGGCTGAGTGAGCAGGCAGAGTGGGCGAATTGCTTCGATCTAGAATGTTCATGTTGATGTCTGAGTATCAACGATAAGTTCGAGGCTACCACCCCAGAACTTTCGAAAACAAGGAGAATCGACATGCTTCAATTTTTCTTCTGGAATGCTTGGCTGTGATATAATCCATTTGGTGAATAGTTAACTAGTTAATTTGTAACTATGGCGAGAAATCACATGCGACACATCCACAACTAGGAATGCAGCCACCATCCGGAAATCATGGCAGAACTTTCTAAAAGGTTCTTCTATGAAAAATTAGGGGCCACGATATTCTGTCCAAATATAGTCATTCCTTTGTACATTTCTGCATTTCTCCACGTTATAAATTCTATGGAACAAGTTATATTCACCGTCTGCATGGCTGTGGAGGGCAGCTGGGTCGAACGAAGAAGCCACTTACTGCCCTTGGGGATATCACCTTCCCCCACCCCCAACATTTTTTCTCCTCATCTCCCATACTTTGCATATTCTTAATGTCACCGTTGCCGCTTTACTTGTTCTTTCTCTTCACCCTTGGTGTGGAGAAGAGTGACCTTAGTCAGAAGAATGTTTGGCCGGCCATCCAAGATGCTCCGGATGATGTGGAATTTGATATGCCTCCAGACAAGGGCCCCGGTCTCCTCGGGGCCCGCATCATTCTTGTCGTCCGTCACATCATCTATGAAGAGGTCAAATTCACTGAAATCATTGTCGGTGGTCATAGCTGCTGGTGGAGCTGCCTTCCAACCACACTATACTCAACTCAGTATCGGAATCATTTTCTCGCACGAGCTCACCGAAGATGGTTTCACCAGAACTGCTGTGACAGCTGTCACTCTCTTCAACAACATACCTTGAGTTGAAGTCCGGGCATGGAGGATGATGCCGGACAGCTTCCTCTTCAGTCATCACTGGAGATCTCGCCCTTGTAATGTTTAAGGCGCCCGTCAGGTGAGGCCACCTCTTTGCCTTGATGATCTTACATTGAGACAGACTTGTGTCATCCCGTCATCCATGCCATGATTGGTGTGCTTCATGTACAAGGTCTTCAGAAGCTGTCAGTACTATTTAAGGCTGAAGCTGCCTTGATGCTGTTCTGAATGAGTGTTCTGAAGCCAATCAAAGTATGTTTTGACTGAGCCCACTGTCAGATTCTTGATGAGATTCTCTTTCATAGTCTTGAGTTCAGCAGAGGAAGCTGGCCTCTCTGTCAGAAGGTCAAAATTCATTTCATCAAGCAGATCACCACTTATCACCGAGGCTTCCACCAGACTGTCTCTCTGCTTTTCTCAGCATTTGTGAAGTAAACTCTGTGTGTGCGATCAGCGGCCTCATGTCATTTCAATATGACTCTGTAGTTCAACTTTCTGAGGGAGTGCTGTTGACCTGCTGTGCGCGATCTGAGAGCTTTGAGCACTTTTGAGTCTTTCAACTGTCAATACTGTTCAATGGGCGCGTGATATTGTCGATGATATGTAGGTAGATAGGACAGAGATTCTAAGGGGGGGGGTAAAAGTAGGCCTTGGGATGTGCAAACGGAGCGGAGAGGAGACAGGGAAACAGAGATATAATTTGAAAAAATGTCAACAGCAACCGGAGGGGGGTAGAGATGATGGAATTTACAGAATTGGGGAAGCCATGGGCTATCCAGTTGGCCACCATATTCTGGAGGGTTGAGCGCCAGAAACGGTGCGCTCAACTGGCGGATAACTGAATGAATGGCTGGTTAATCAAAGATCAAGGGTGAGCGGTTCAGAAGCTGTCGTGCAAGCAGAAGGTGAGGGCATGAACATGATCAAGAGTGCAGAAGGAACCCCCAAAAGCTGTGATCGAGGACTTCCAGATGAAATAGTGTTTATTAACGCGGTTATGAATCCGTGAGGCAGCCGAAGCAGCTTAAAAGCCTTCCACTTCCAGCCGTCGAGGCCCTTAAAGCTCGATTTACTAACTTCCCATAATTATTGACTCTACATAAGTATGAAAAAGAATCATTATTACTATTTTACATATGAAAAGAAACAAAGACGCTTATTAAAGTTAGTAGTTTAATAAGTTTTATTAATAAAAGTAATTACTATAACTAGTTATATTTTTACAATAGATAATAAACTCACAACTTCTTATCTTCAAAGAGTTTAGATTACAAGATTATAAATTAGGGATAGTTAACTAATTATTTTAGACTTTTACTAAGCTAGCTGGTCTATATTTTGACCAGACCCTTTTTCAACCACTCTATCCAAACCTAACTCACCACCTTTACCACGCGTTTTCTCAACCACATTATTAAAATGAAGCCTAACAATGAAGCTGCTATAGCTGCTGCTATAGAGAATTTAAAAAATGATGGTTTTCAATCTGAACAAGCTGCTGCTAAAGCATATAACATCTCATGAAGCATATTGAAGAGCAGAAAAAATGATTTCATTCAACAAGCAATTGCTTATCAACATTGACAAAAGTTGACTTCAGAGCAAGAGATCTTTCTAGTTCAATGAATAAAAGAGCAAGATTCACAAGGATTTCCATCCTCTCATGCACATGTATGAGAAATGGCGACTCAAATTCTATGAATGAATTAAGATCCCACTCAATTGGGTGAGGATTGGATAAGAAAGTTTCTAAAACAAAATTCTATGATAAAATCTGTGATTGACTGAAGGATTGAGTCTTAATGAATAGAGAATACTCAGTAGGAAACACTTCAGCAGTTCTATAACTACTTTTCTGAGATACAACAGACTCATGGGATAGTTATTGAAAATATATAGAACATGGATGAGCATGGCATTGCTTTAGAAGTATGTACAAATACCAGAGTACTTGCTGAGTGAAGGAAAGGCAAAACCTACATTAAATCTCCCTCTAATCATGAGTGGGTTTCAATTCTTGAAGCTATTAGTGTTGATGAGTACTATATAGATTCTCTAGTCATTTTTCAAAGTCACAATGCACAATCTAACTGGTTTGAGAATGTGGATATACTCAATTGAATCTATACAACATCAAATAATAGATGGACATCAAATAATATATATCTCAACTGATTATATATGATTTTTTTTATCTCAAACATTTAAGGAAGGTCAGCATAGATTATTAGTGCTGAATAGTTATAGCAGTCATATCACTATTGAATTTCTATGAGAATATCATATAAATTTGATTCATTTAATATTTCTATCTGCTTATACATCTTATATTCTTCAGTTATTGAATCTTGAAGTGTTTTCATTCATGAAGAGCTACTATAGAGCTGAGATCATTGTTATAAGCTATCTGAATGATGCAGCTCCTGCAAAGAAAAGAAAATTCATACAAGTCTATGAACAAATATATTCAAAGATCTTAGAATCTTATAATATATGTGGAGAGTAGAAAGCAGCTGATCTAATATCATTTAATTCTTTTAAAAGATTAAATTTCTCTTAGATTCAAGATCATAGTCAATATAACTCTAGATCAATGATATTAAGAATCTCTTTATCTTCTGAACTGCAAAATTTCTTGTTTAAAATCTTTCAAAATTCTAGACATATATATAAAACTCTGCAGCAGTTGAATATGAAAAGAATTCTTACAAAAAAGCAGCAGGTTTTTCTATACAAAGCTAGCAAAATGATTGACAAGTTGAATGCTCTACAAACTATCAGTCAGTCTATAATTTTTAAACTCTTTAATCAACTAAAGACTCTATAACAATCAAAAATCAAAAAGAAGATGAAAGTTGATTCAAATACTCAGTTTACCAATATAAAAAAATTAAAAAGGCTCAAGAGGAAGCTGCTGCTGTAGAGATTAGAAAACAACTACAGAAGTCAAAAATTGAGATTAAAAAAGCAGCAGCAGTAACTTTAGCAGTAGATCTGAAAGCCTGCATATTTGAATGACAATTAGAATTGAATTTATAGTTAAATATTTACTTAAATAAAAAGAGTAATTACTTTGAATAAAATAATCAAAAAAAAAATCTGATCAACTAGTTTAATATAAAATATTTAAAAGTAAAAAAATAGAAAATTATATAAAAATAATTAAGTAAGTATAAAAACTTTAATTTAATATATATTAATTTAAAAATATATTTTTAAAAATATATATTTTATTATAATTAAAAAATAATAAATATATTCTATTGAAATATAATTAAAATAAAAATATAAAAATTAATTATTTAAAAAATATAAATTAAAATAAAAATAATTTTTTTTAATTAACTTTATAATTAAAAATTAAAATTATTATTCAAGATTAACTATTAAAGATTAATATTTTATAATATTAAATTTTATTATATTATTTTTATTAATTATTAAATATTTAACTTTTTTATTAATTAATTTAAATTTAATTATTTTTATATTTTATTATTATTATTATTATTATTTTAATAATTATAAATTATAAAATATATAAATAGTTTTAAAATTTTTATTATTAAATAATAAATTTTAATTATTTAAATTAAATAAATATTATAATTATTATTTTTATTTAAAACTATAACTATTATATATTATTATTATTAATAATTTTAAATAAGTATATATAGTTAAAAATTATAATATATAAAAATAAAATAATATTTAAATTTAATATTTATTAATTTTATACTTTTAAATAAAGATCTTATATAAATTTAAATTTTAGTTTTCAGATATAATTTTTATTTTCTTTATAAAGTTAATTAGAAACTTTTTTAGTTTAATATTAAAAATAAAATATATATTAAAATAACTAATAAAGTATTTTTAAATTTCTTTTAATTATTATTATTTAAAAAATAATTTAGTAAAATATAATCTAAATTTTTAACTAAATTATAAAGTTATATTTATTTTAATTTATAATATTTTTAATATTTTTATATAAAAATTAATAATTATTTTTAAGTTTTAATTCTATTATAAAAAAAGTTTTTTTATACTTTATTAATAAATACTTTTAATTTAATTTTACTTTATATATTATATATTAATTTTTTATTATTTAATTTAATTTTACTTTTATAATATTTATATAAAATAAATATTTAAAATAAATAAATTTAAATATTTTTTATATTTTAGTTTAATTTTTTTATTATTTATGAAATTAATTAAAATTTTATTAAAATATTTTAATTTTTAAATAATAATCTTATTAGTTAAAAATATAAAGTTTTTTAAATTATAAATAATTTATTATTAAAAGCTTTATATTTTATTTTTAAATTTTAAAAGTATAATTTATATTTAATTTTACTTTAATATAAAAAAAGTATTTTAACTAATTAATAGAATATTTTAAGTTTTATTTTAATAATATTATTTAATAAATAATTTATTAAAATATAATTTAAAAATTTAAAGTATATTATAAAACTTATATTTATATAAATATATAAAATTTTTAATTATTTTATATAGAATTTAAAAAAACTTATATTTATAATTTTTTATATTTTTAAAACTTAATTTATTTATTAAAATTTAATTTCTTAATTTCTTTTTTAATATAAGATTAAAAAAATTAAATTTTAAATTTTAATATTAATTTTTTAAGTTTTATTATTTTATTTTTAAAAAAATTTATATAAGTAAATATTCAATAAATAAATTTTAATATTTTTTAACTTATTTTTTATTATTATACTTTAAGTATAATTTCTGATTTTAGTTACTTATCTATAAAATTATTAAATATTATTAAATAATTAAAACAATTAATTTATAATATTTATATATATATTATAGAATAAGTATATATAAAAAATTACTTTTAAATTTAAATTATATATAATGATTAATAATTAATAAATTTTTTAATATATATATATATATATATATATTTAAAAATTAAAAGATTAATAAAAAAAAATTTTTAATAATATATTCAGATAAATTAAAAAGTAAAAAAATATTTAAAAGTAAATCTAGTTTTAATATATTTTAAAATATATTAAAGTAAAAATTTAGCATTTTATCACATAACTTAATAAACGAACTTGATCAAATTATAAAGATTTATTATAAAGCAGTAATATTAAGATATATGCTGCTAATGAGGAAAAGAGGCAAAAACAAGAGATTTAGGCACCAAATTCAATATGAAGAAGGTTTTAACTAGAGATCAGGCTCTTATTATTCCACCTGCTAAAGGCAGTTGAACTGCCTACCATTCAAAAGACAAAGTCTCTCCTCTCCCTTTAGACTCAGCATCACACTCACGAGCTTCACCATAGTGTTGTAACTGAGGCTCCTACAAGCACCGGAAGAACTATATGTTCTAATCTTGGTGAAGTTTAATTTAAACAAATTAGTTGTTGTTGACTGTTGGAAATCTGGAATATAATTTATTCTATTGAACATGTTAAGATTTGATGGCCTGCCCAGTGGTGAATTAATAACTAGTTAGTTCGGACTCTGGGTTATAGTTATAACTTAGGGCAGAACTTGCTCACTGATCACATTCAAATAATATGAATCCAGGAAAGAAGACGCAAAGGAGAAAGTTATATGTTTTGTCGAATCTCCTAGCTAAGGATTAGTCGGGAATGATCGGCTGTAAGTAGTTAGGTCGTATCTATAATATAAAGGTGGGTAGGGGAAAGGGAGAAGACGGAGATGTTTTCGGCAGTATGCACGGGTAGTAGACAGGTTATAATGATTGAGTCTATCTGTATTTTGAGCTATTAGATCGTCCAAGAATTGGTTAACCGTGGAAAGGAGAAAAAATTTTAGTTCATGAATGTCTAATGACGAGCTCAATGAATCGGGAGCAGAGCTGAATAGAAGAAAAAGATATAAATTTTGTCTATCAAATCAATTAAATAATCAGGAAATGTCACCCAAAAACAAAATAAGTTAGAAATATCCATCCTCGCACTGGCGTTCCCAAAGAAAAGAGCACATTTTCACATGCCCACTGAACGCTGATCAAAACACCAATCCAGCATATACATATCGGAAACGAAACCTAACAAAACAAGTCCCTCCCAGGGTTTTTTTTTGGTTCACCATCAGTTGGCAACGAGAAATCCCAGAAACTAAGCCTCTTTTCAACCAAAACCTACTTGCCACCAGGACAACACTGTCGACCAGCCGCGCACTCAACCCCACACTCAAGCAGGCAGTTAGCATCAGCAACACACGTACCGGGACCGCGTTGTCGAGCAGTGCCACACTGCCCACCCTGAGCAGCCAGAGAATGAGACGATCCCACACGGGACGTTTCATCAGTGTCGCTACCAGGATAAAACTCCGGCTGAATCGTTGACGAATGAATCCCATACGCATGCAGACACCTGCGCACCTGCCGCGCTAGCTCCATATACCTATCCGACCCTTCGCCCTTGATATCATGGCTAACCTGTATATGTAACGAGCAGACGAGTTTTGTGTCGCTAAGCTGCCAGACGTGCAGGTGGTGGCAGCTCAGGACGCCGGGGAGATCCTGGATGTCTTCTATGATGTGGTCGATGCTTAGATCAGCAGGGACGGCTTGGAGGAGGATGCGCGATGCGGCTTTGCAGAGTGGGATGGCGGAGGCGAGGATTATGACGGTGATGACCAGGGAGATTGCTGGGTCCGCATAGAAGCGCCAGGAGTAGTTTGTCAGCCAGATTATGAGAGCTGAGGCGATTACACCGAAGTTACCCAGTGCGTCACCTACGACATGGAGGAAAATGCCACGCATGTTAAGGTCGGAGTGGGAATGGCCTTTTTTGCCCTCGGTGGACTTTGGTTTGGCGTGGTTGTGCGCGTCATGTAGGTCCTTATGCGGGTCTTTGGACGGTTGGCTTGCGGCTCCCTGTGTGACGTTTGTTGTAGAATACGTAGCCCCATTGTGTCCATCAAGTAATCCCGTCCGTTCTGAAGTAGAACGGTTTGATTCCGTATCTGATTCGGAAAATGTCTCGTCGTCAAAGCGACTGGCTTCGATGATATCCCGACGTAGAATGGCAGGGTGGATTTGGATATCTTCTGCATCGCGGAATGCCCTTGGTCCCGATGAACTGAACCGACGAGAGTTGGAGCGCTTCCTGGCAGGATTGGATACACCATTCTCTACACTGCCCTTTTGCTTCGTAGCCCCACGCTCCACCTCGAATCGGTTGGCGACTACATTTCCTGACGCTGCACTGACGACGGTTCCGGATTCATCACTCATCGCTTCTCTACTGACTTCCTGTGCATAACCCTGCTCAGCCGTATCCACCGCCTCCTCCGTGTTATGCCCATCAGAATGTCCGCCATGACCATGCGAGTGCTCGTGGAAAAGCACCAACCCAAAAAAGTTGGATAAAAGACCGAAGCAGCCAACAACACAGATTAGTTTGGGGTTTCTAACCTCTTGCGGTTCGACTAATCTTTGGATAGCTTCGAGGAAGATTGAGAGACATAACGCGACGAGGAATACGCCGTTTACCAGTGCGCCAAGTGTTTCTGCTCGTTGCCACTGTGGTTTCATAGAGAGAACGAGTTAGCAACATGACATTGAAGAGCACTCAATTCAATACGCAGATGACTTTAAAAGTGATCCGATGTTGCTTACCCCATAGGTATATATCTTCGAGCTTGTCTTCCGGTTTGCAACCTTGACAGCCCCGAGTCCAACGCATAGTGATAGAACATCATTAAGCTAAGCACGCGGGGGAAAAACCAACAATTAGTTCGAAGGTTCTGTAGTTTTAAAGAGGCGTTCATCGAGGAGGCTTACGAACCATATGAAAAGAATCCGCTATTAATGCCAGCGAGTGTACAGAATAACCTGATCAGAAGGAAGGATGTTAGCAGGGGTTCCTAGCTGCATGACTTCCCTTTGTCAAAAAAAAAATGCATGTAAACATACCAACAATTAGTTCGAGGAGGAAGAACATGGAATCGATGACGAGGAGGAGAATAATCCGGTGCGACTTTGACATCCACATCGTGGCCAGTTGAGGTTGCGCAGGCACGCGCGAACTGGTTAAGAGAAAAAGAAGAAAGCAGTTGAATAGAACGGACTTGCGAGAAGCAAGCTGATATTGAAAGAGAGCTAGAACTCGATAAACTGTCTATCCGATTTGTTTGAGGACGGTTAATAGATAATCAATATGCTGCTGGTACTGTATAGAAGGAAGATGACGTGACATCACCATCCTGTCCGCAAGAATAGACTAAAAATAAGAAGAGAGGTTTCCAAGGTTAGGGATCAATGGGAAGAGGAGAAGATGGAAAACACAACGAAAATTTTGGGGATCTTGTTTCGGTTTTCAGCTGCAGGAAGAAGACATCTATTCACGAAGACAGGATCTCTGGTTGGTCTGGTTGGTGGCGGGATGTTGGAAAAAGCAAGCGGCAAGAGGCGGCAGAAGGGTCGGAAGCTTAATCAGCAAAGTTTCCTGTCTGTAACTGCGGACCATGGATTGTGGTTGAGGGGGATTGAGTGATTGGAGATTGGGCCAATGGATTTTTATCCGGAAACTCCGTATTCTTTGGGTCCGTAACGGAGTCTGGAATAGAGTTATCTGATTTTCTGGAAATGGCAATGGGCGGAGTCGGCTGCCTTTTTAAAACAACCGGGATGAGAGGGGAATTCAATTATGACGTTGATGAACAATTAATGCCGGCAGTTCAGCATGTGGATTATTTGTTTCTCTCCTGCGTTCTGTTGGAGCATGTTGCATTTAGATATACAGCTACGAAAAAGCCACTGAATAGGCTCAGATGCCGCTGCTGCTTGTGCCACCCGCATAAAAGTTAGATGCAAGGAGCATGGGGTCTATGAGTTTTGATCAAGAATGGAAAATTATGTGAAGAGAGCCAAGACTTTGAGAGAAAGAAGGACGTTGTGATTTGTCGATCGTTATGCTTAAGTTCAATGAAAGTATCAACAAAAGTGCTTGTATTATTTCCAAAGAGAGGGTCATGTGTTGCTTCTTGTTAGATTCCCGAAGTATATATACCCAATATGTATATGCCAAAACTCCCAATGTTGTATGTATCAGCATGTCCCAGCGAGAGATCCTTGACGCCCTTGGCTATATGGAATACCTCCTGACTCCGGGTATCCGAGAGGTTATGAGACATAAAACACGATCAATCCCAACTCACCCAACTCACCACAACAAACCAGCCAACCAAGATCCTCCCACGCAGTGTGCTCCAAAAATCCAATTTGATATGAAATGCTGAGGAAAACACATACCGAAAGCGCCCTTATATATTCCTCCTGTTTCATAAAAGCTTATCATTTTCTGTTCTCATGGCGATCAAAATGACGAGTATAAACACTGTCGTGATTATCTGCGTATATAAATAGACGTTAGCAGTGTTCGATTCCGCGCGTCAAGTACTCCTTAAAAGTCGGGTAGTTAAACGGGAACGACATGATCCTGCCATCGTCCCATGCACCTCGAACATGTTTCTAAACACAAAGCACAACAGGTCGGTCGCTATCCGTTGACTGACTGAAACCTTACAAAGAAAAAGGTAAGGCAAGGCAAGGGAGAAGATATGGGGGGGGGGAAACAAAAAACCAAGTTGACCAGATTTAACTTGACACTTGACAACCTCAATACCACCTCAAAACAAAGAGCGCAAGACAGAAAGAAAACAAGAAATGAGACAACAGAAAGAGAGGAATAGAAAAAACCCAGTATCACTCACACCAACAGTACAAGCACCCGACAGATTTAGCTCCCACCCACCGGCATGTACTTTACCCCTCGCCAGCGCATTCTGCTGTCTCCAAAACCGGTACGCCCCTACGGCTGCAACCAGGATCGCACAGGCATGACATGCACAGGCAAGCGGCAGCCCGACAGTATAGAACCCAAATGTCGTGTCGTGGTTCTCCCGGTTCTGCAGACTGAATAATTGGGCTATGAGAACGCCGTGGAAAGCGAAGGAGAGCGATGTGCGTATGTAAGCTAGGAAGGTTCTTTCGAGGGCTGTTTTCAATTTATTCCCCCCTTCCCCCAGGTGGTAGTGGTATCGTTAGTTAAACGTGTGGACAGATGGGAAGAGGTTATGTATTTTGGTGGGACGAAGGTGATACAAATGCAACATGAACGGGAGGGGATCGCGGGGGGGGGGAGCAGATAAGAGAAATAAAAAGTAGCAACGACAATCGCATTGTCTGCTGCCTGCGTGCTCAAAAATAAGACCTGCGGCAAAGTGGATGGGTGTGCATATGCCGGGGAATATTAACTATTCGGAAGAGCAGGGATGGGCGGGGAGGAGGGCTGGTTTTCCTGAAATGGCGTGCTCACGACTTGGGAGGAGGGCTGGCTGATTCTTGGGATTCCCAAAAACAAAAAGAAAAGTAGAACCATTTCTCCAATCGCATGCAGGGTATCCCATCAGGAAAAGGACACAAAACAATAAAAACAATAATAGGAGAAAATATGGATATCAGGTAATTGGGGGCGCAGATATAAAATAGCCACCAAGCCCTTCCTCCCTTCGGTTGCTCCCCGTCGCAGCAAATCCGCCTCTCCCCCACCAACCCCCAGCAAGGTCATTTAAAGCAGACGCACAAACAAAACTAGTTTCCACTCACCAAAATGATCCCGATTCTGATTCCGTGGGACTACCAACGAGACATGCCGTGACCAATACCTGCGCAAACTGCCCAGATGGCCCCCCTGAGTTTCCAAACTGGATCTCCTCGTCTGCTCCGTGCTGGCCGTGCGTTGGACAACTAGGCGTACGGAGCCTGAGGAGATCGACGACACTGACGATGACCTGCTGTGGTTGCGGTTATCGCTGCAGTCGTGGTCATGATCCGGATTGGGAGGTGGGAGGCTAACGAGTTCCGTCGGATCTTGGTGGCTCTCGTCGATGCTTTCGTCAATCGCTGTCGATATGCTGGGGTCTCGTGGGTCCTGGGGGCAAGATAGAGGTTGATGGGGTTTATCAGAGCGGGGACGGGAGTGGGGACGGGAACGGGTACTCCTCTCTCCTGTTGTTGCTGGGAGGGATGAGGTGGCGGAGGTTGGGGCCGTCTGAGGGTCCGCTTTGCTGCTATCAGGAAATGTCATGATGGTGCTGGTGGAGATGCATCATGGGCAACGAAATTTGACCGGTGGTGGCAAAACACATTCGAGAGCAATGCTTGCAGACGGTAGCTTTTTGAGGTTGCCAGCAGGTTAGGTCTGGTGTAATTATCCCTGCCCTGTCTCTTTCCTTGCTAAAAAGTTTTCCTCTTTCTCTCTCTCTCTCTCTCTCTCTCTCCCATTTTATTATAATTATTATGCTATGCTTTCTGGGGGTATCGGGTGGTGTTTGAACCATGGATCTGGGATAGTTACCGCCGATACTTTTTCGCCCTCCACCCGCAACGAAAAACTCTCGTTTCCTTTTTTAATTATCTTATTCACGGGCCATGGCTCCAGTGACATCACCAAAGTGGTTTTATTGAAATCTAGAACGGGCCTCTTTTATAAATATATATATATATATATATATATTAACCCCGATCAGGTTGACAGCGCGCTGTGGAAATCTCTACGAAGCGGCTGACGGGGGGGAAAGACAATTGACAGAAATGATCACCTGGAGATGGTGACGGTGTCCACGGGGAGATATAGTTATCAGACGGGAATAGCGAAGAATCCAATAAGTGGGTAACCACTGTTTTTCCGAACTCTGCTCTGCTCGCTAATACCCGCGAATTTCACCCAGCTTTTATGGACACGGATGGATTGCTTCACCCACCCACGCTGTTTGGCTCAAGCTTACATAACTAACCACCCAAAATCAACGTTGGTTGGATTATTTTGGTTTGGGGGGGGGGTGGCACTAGTTGGCGAGTTCGCAGGCTGCCAATATATCTCCATGACGTGGGGCGGTTCAACCTCAGCCACCCGTGGGCGTCAGTTGCCGTCCAGTCGTTCGTCCTTCGTCCTTGGTTTTCCCAGAGCCGTTTTATCGGCCGGGACAAGTTGTCTTACAACGAACGGCCGGGAACAACAAGAAGAACCCCCCCCCCCCCCCGGACTTTCCCACAAGGGGGTAACAAACCGCCAAGCCGGAGCTTTGGAGCCGCACAGACCGGTTATTCGGGATTATTTGCGGGGTTCTTCAGGCCCCGGGCTTGTCGGCTGGTCTGGTTGCTCGCGATTTCGAGATGCTTAATTTTCCACTTTCACAACCAGACAACGCTATTACTGGTATATGCACACGTTTGACGGCGTGGATTGGTGCAAGGTCATTTTCAGCGGGGAAATATGGAAGAGACACCTAGTTACATGAAGACGGTTTATTGGATTTAAGACTAGAACTTCCAAAAGCCCTGCAGTTAACTGCAAGGACAAGAAACAGCATGTTTTGTGTGTTTCGGCTTGATAACCCATCTATTCAAGTCAAACGAGACCGGAGTCGTGCAGGATGCTGCTTATTTCAGGTGGGAAGTTTCTCTCTAGAGAATGTATCTCGGTTTGTACAGTTGCAGTCATGTGACATGTGGAAAACTTCATCTAAGCTCCAGACAGTACTATTTATTTGCGTTTGGTCATGCGTCGTCAACAAACTTTGACAAAATATTTGATGCATTCGAGATCGATGTCCCTCTTCTATCGACTATGAGACTTTAGGCGTCAGAAAATTACAGCTACATGCAGCACTCTGCTGCGTTTTAATTGGTGTTTCGTTTGTGCAAAATCTCTAATATGTAACTATAACTTATCATTTCCCCCACACGCAAACCTTCATGCCCTTCCCGATGGGCACATCCCTACCCATTCGATGTATGGCACATTGCAACTTCAACAGTTCTTGGGAAGTCCCACTGTTCTTCAGAACAGCTTAAGCACTGGACATGCAGTGGAGAATGTAAATATCAAACAGGAATCTCCCCTCTTCTTTTGTCGTTTTGTCTCCTGTCCATTTCTATCTTGTGTCTTGTATTTCAAGTTGGATTTCTCTCCTTTTATTTTTTAACGATGATGTCGTGAGTAGTTACTTGGAGTTAAACTAACAGAGTTAAACTTAGTTAACTAACTAATTAACTAGTTGGTTAGTTGTTCATGCTTCCACCAGCTTATTAGCAGGCAACTCCCCCCGATATCGGATGCTAAAATCCAAGCAGACGGGGTTGGAGTTGGAATACAAGGAGTACCTACGAATCAACGGTGATATAAAGGAGAGATGTGATAGACAAACCTAGATACATACCTGTCGTGTGTTGTTTTTAGTCAGTGAAGTTTCGCATACCCCGAATTTGAGACGAAAACGAAAAGATATGCAGGAAGCGATTACTTCTTATTGTCATCCGGAAAATGCATGCTTCAGAGGGATTGTTGACGGAGTCGGGAAAATTTACCCCTCCGACGCAGGAAGCTCTGGGCCAGGAAAAGGACCACTGGTGTTCCGAGGTTTGTTACGGCGTTAATCTTTAAGGTTCAACAAAATCTTATAAAAAAAAAAAAAGGGGGTGGGGAACTGATAAATATCTAACTTCAATCTAGGCATATAACACCTCCGCGGCTTTCGTGCCAAAGCTTGCAGAGAAAGTGTTACAGTATCTCGATCCCCAACCAGCAGACCACGTGCTAGATGTAGGATGTGGAGACGGTAAATTCACAGGCAACTACATTTCGGATGTGGGGATGGTGCTAGGAATTGACGCATCACCGTCGATGATTGGCTCTGCCAAACAAGATTATGGCAGTTCTAGAGCTGAATTCCGCGTTGTGGATTGCACACATCTAGATAGGGAGCCGGCAATCGTGAGTGGAACATGGGATAAAGTGTGGGTTCACCCTTCCTTGCTCCTTAGGACTGTTTGACGCTACATATATATCTATATGCCAATACGAGTCACCAGCATCTCTAATGCGGCACTCCATTGGATCCTGAGGGATTCTTCCACGCGAATGTTCGTGTTGGAGGCAATATATTCCAGTCTCAAACCAAATGGAACATTTGTGTTCGAAATGGGAGGCCACGGTAACGTGCCTGAAGCACACACTGCACTGCTAGCAGCCGTCACGCATCACGGTGCAACCATCCAGCAAGCGCGTGCTGCATGTTCATGGTTCTTCCCATCAGAAGCGTGGATGAGGGCAACTCTAGAGAAGATTGGATTTCATGTGGAGAAGCTGGAAGCCGAATATCGACCCACGAAGCTTACCACGAATGAAAGTGGGGGTATTGCGGGGTGGGTGAGACTGATGGGTTCGCCAATGTTGGATATTGTGGATGCGGATAGTCGAGAGTCTGCTGTTGAGGAGGTCTGCCAGTTGCTTGAAACTGTTATCACGAGGGAAGAGGATGGTAGTAAGTGGCTGGGGTACGTTCGTCTCAGAGGCGTTGCTGTGAAGCAATGAGGGTCTTGATTCGTGTTCTATATTTTGGTGCGCTTTGTATTTTGACTGCGGGAATCATGTAGTTACTTGGTTCCTACGCTTAAAAACGTAGTGCACTACAGTAATCGGCTGGATTGGAAGCTTGTCAATTGACACACTGCTTTCAATTGAGCTAACTCTAGGAGGTCCAAGGTCGGCCAGGTAGTTCCAGCCAACGACAAACAAAAAACACGTCCATGCCATGGCGTTTCAATGAATTACGAAATAGAACAGGCTTCAAAATTGAATATCATTCAACATTGATCTCTGTTAATTTTCAAATGAAATAAACTTAACTGCAAATGAACGGCCCAGGATCTATTCCAATATCAACAATCTCCGAGAAACAAATGACGACCTTGGAAGCCTTGGAAAGGCAAAACTAAATGTTCTCCGATCCCTAGTCCGCCCTCCATTAAAACTTTAGGAAAAGAGCAGTTCTGAAATGAGACGGAGACCAAAAAAAATAAAGGCGGAAGGAGTAGGATGTTAAAAAACCCTAATCCAAACACGATGAAACCCAAATCACCAAACCCACCCTTCGCGCCTGACGGCAGGTAATGGAAAGAGACACGAAAAACCAAACAAAGCCCTAATCAACCCCCGTCCAAGCTCACAAGCCTCCGTCAGTAAAAGGTTTCATCAAACCCCACTTCCAAAGCACCGGCCTTCCGTGAAAACACCGTCGACGAATCGAGAGTTTCCAGCAGAAAAGCATGTGTTAAGGAAACAAGCATAGATACCCCACATCAAGGAGCAAGTAAGCGGACAGAATGTTTCAGACCTATCTGGTAAACCGTATCTCCAACCACAACCTGCACAAGGCACAAAGGAGTTAAAAATCTGAGCCTCCCTTTCCTTGGTAAGAGTTTTTTCTTTCCAGCTTCGCTCCGCTTCTCCTTTTCTTATCAATCTTGCGCTTTTCTCCAAGGCAATCAACTACTGCCACAGGGGGCAGCAAGTAATCGTCCAGAGATGCTTGTGATCTGCCGACCATGGAAATGGAAGATTGGCAGACGAATGATGTTCTGTTCTGGAGCAGCGCGTGCTTTCTTTAGTTTGATTTTTCGGATTAAACGTAAACACCCACCCGAAGCAGGAAAAAGATGAATGGAAGATTGACATTGGAGTGATCTCGTTAAACCAAATACACTCCAAGTGGAGGATTTAAAAAGGAAGAGATGCGATTCTGGTACACGCTCATTTAAAAATACATGGAATGCGATATGAACCTTCTAGATTGTGAAACGACAGACTGAGAATCTATCGAGAATCTCTGCACATGTTTAAAACAAAGGAGGAAAGGAAAAATATGACCACGTGAACCAAGATACAAAATCGAAGGATATCACAATATATATACACTTACGCGACCCCAGTAGCGACGCCTTGTTCTTCAGAACCAGCGACCATACCTTCTTCAGGGCCCATGGAGAGTTTTCTCACATCCCATCCATCAAAATCAGATCCGTCTTTCTGTTCGCCCAGAAGGCAGAATTCCCGTCGTGTTCCATCGACGAGGAACTTCTGAGCGGCATTATTCACATCCTCAGCTGTTACATCTAGAACTTGCTCGCGCCAGCGTTGGTCCATTTCTTGAGTGACACCAGTCATGAAGTATCGCTGTCCCTCTTCATCGACGCTCATGGGAGCATCGAGACCCTGGAAGATGCCAAGTTTCGCTTCGTCAAGTTCCCGTGTTGTCCATGGTCTATCTCGGGCAAAGATTCCCGCATTATTGAAAACTTTCAGGGAATTCATGGGGTTGGGGTCACGGTAGCTAGAGAAGGCGAAGTAACCTTGGATTGGGGCGCTGCTGGCGCTGGCTCCGTATGCACCTCCTTTCTCTCGGATTTCTGGATGGAGATAATTATGAGTTAAGAGCTGGGAGAGGACGCTCAATGATGCGTTTGCTGGGTTGGTGAAAGCAGTTGTTGGAAGCGCGAGGCCAGAGTAAGAGACTTTGTAGGGGAGGTTATAGAGTATTTTTGAGGAACAAGGGTTGAACTTAAAACCGTCGGTGGTAGATGCGGGATTGAGGCTGTTGGGTAGACGGGAAAGCCAATTTTGAAGGGTGACTTCGTTGGCACTAGCGCTTTCTCGCTCACAGACCACACGCACTCGGAATTTAGAAGATTTCGAAATCGCAAATGACTGGATCAACTGAAGTTTTCGAATGAGCTCTTGTAACCGATCTGGAGAGGTTTCTGCGTCGTGAAGTAGCCTGGCGGTGGACTGCACTTGTGCTAAGCCTGACAGTTGCTCACTAGCCCAGAACTTTTTGGCAAGACCCGAGGTCGCAACGTTTATAGCGTATCGATGACCAGTGCCAGCAATTGCATCAATCGCGCCATTGGTGGACGATCGCAACAGTTCTTGGATCATCCGTGGAGCAACAGGACCGGCAAAATCCGTCTCAGTTACTAAGTCTGATATCATTTTGAGCATGGTCGAGAAGTTCTTGTCTAGTGAATAACCGGAAAATTGGATACCTTCAGAGTAGGCTTCCAAAGACGTCGGTGAGGATACAATGAAAGAAGAGGACGAAATGCCTCCAGTTTTGAGCTTGATTAAATCCTCCCAATGTTCCATCGATCGTGAAGCGGTCCCAAGTCGCATGATGCAATCATTAAATAGGGGTAGGAGCAGCCGTAGCTCATCTGGCAGGTTTTCAAAAGCATTCATAGCCTGGAAGTACGAGAGGCCATTCGTTGGGGCTTCTCTCCAGACAACATCGACATCATTTACTTTCGACTCCCTAACGGTTTTCCACTCTTTAGTTCGCGAAATATCTTTCACATGCAGAGTAGGCAGGCAGCTTAAATCGGCATGCTGCGCTGCCTCCTGAACCTTCAACAGTTCAAATTCCTGTTTCTTGAGCTGATCAACAGCCGATTCGAGGGAACCAGCAGCTTCTGTCAACTTAGCTATTTTAGCCTCTTTCCGAGCAAGTTCACTCTCATCCAGTTGCTTATTATGGGTGGGAGAGCCAGCCATGGTAAATGTGAATGACTTGTCCGTCATGAGGTATTTTTTCATCAGTTGCTCAAGGTAACCGCCTTTGTCATAGCGTCGCTTGAATTCATTGATCACCTCATTCCAAGCGAGCTCTTTCATTGGGTTAGAGCCGTTGAACCAGGCTGATATTGTCTTTTCCATGATTCCAATCCCAAAATTGGCAGTTTTATGTCTCAATGTAAGTTCCAGTTGATGTAGGATGCCTTTTACCTTTTCGTCATTAAATCCAGAGGCTGAGAACTCCTGAAAGACATTTTCTACCCTCTCTTTCACAACGGCAACGTCTTTCTCGGAAACTCCATTCACACCGACTGAAAAAATAGGCACTCTCCCAGAAGTATCCAGGCCTGTGTTGGGTGTAAATGAGGAGCCAATCTCGCTTTCAACCAAAGCCTTGTACATAGGTGATCCGTAGCCATCAAGCAACAAGGATGAAAGAATTCCAACAGAAAAGGTTTCCACGATGTTCGTCGTATCACCGGCGAACCAGGATACCGAAGTTTTAAATTGCTTGTCTTCGCTTGTAAATGGGTCAATGGGACCCAGAATCGTGACGCTCAGAGGGCCGTCCTTAAGATCTCTGGGTAGTTTGACATCTTGTTCTGGAGCCGATTTTTCAAACCCATCCAAAACGCTACCAATTTGCTGTAAATGGTCACTTAGCGGCATATCCCCGTAGGTAAAAATTTTCGCATTGCTAGGATGGTAATTCTTTTTTGAGAAGTCGACCAATTGCTTGTGGGTCAGATCCGTAATATGCTGCGGATCACCCCCTGAGTTATTAATAGCAGGAAATATCTGCTCTTTAAATTTGATATAGTATAAGTAATTTGCATCTGACACTTGCCCTTTCATCTCATTATAGACCACTCCTTTGAAAACAATGTCGTCCGCTGTGGCAGGTCTGTCATTCCTCTCCTTCTGAACCAAGGCCGCGCGAGGATCTTCAGGGCCTAAACGCCATCCTTCTTGTCGAAAATCTTCTTCTTTCAATAATGGGTGTAATACTGCATCTAGGTAAACCGATAGCAGGTTCTGGAAGTCTTGTTTATTGGTGGTAGCAAAAGGATAGGTGGTATGGTCAGGGGAAGTGAATGCATTCATAAAGTTGGATAAAGAGCGTGGTAACATTTTGAAGAATGGATCGCGGACAGGATATCTATTATAGCATAAAAAGATCAGCACATAAATTCACGACGTTGGAGGGTTTGCAATAAGTATGTATGTACGTACTTCACACTACCACACAGAGTCGTATGCTCCAGGATGTGAGGGACTCCAGAAGCATCTGGGGGATTTGTTTTGAATCCAATCCCAAAGACATTATTCCTGTCATCCCTGGCAACATGGAGATAGTCCGCTTCTGTCTTGTCATGCTTTAGTAGCACTGCAGTTAAATGAAGCTCGGGCACATGCTTCTTCTCCTTGACAGTGAACCCACGTAGTTTCTCGCCAACGGCGGGATAACTGTCTAATTGTGTGACTGTGGAAGCCAGTCTTCGACCTTTACCAAGCAAGCATCCTCGATTTGCTCTATTGTGCAGAGTGAAGAATGCTGGAGACCTTGACGAAGAGATCCCACATTTTGATAGCGTATTGGTTGCTCTTAGCATCTTGAAACCGGCAATGACTGGCAGCTAAATAGGCTATCCGGGACCTGGGTAGCCAGCCAAACTTTGAGTCGCAACGTGCAACTACGACTGATCTCCTAAGAAGGGGTGCAGAAGCAGTTGGTAGGCAGCAGTTTCAAAGACAGTGACTCTGGTTGTTAAAGTGCTTGAAGTTGTAGCCAACCAGAGCTTCAGGCAAACTGAAGCTGGGGTTAATAGCTTTTTAGGAGGTCGACACAGTATCTCTATCTTCTGAACGACAAAGATTTGGAAACTGCAATACTGATGGAAACAATGATAGCCCCCACAGAATACTAAGTCTGCGGCAGTGAGGAGCTATATAAATAGAAGGTTGCAAAAAATTTGAGGTCCCAATTAACTAACGAGCTATTTTAGCAAGTTATTTTAGCTGTGGCGTTAGTCAGCCATGTTTATGGCCCATTCGGGTTTAGCGCAGTGCTGCAGCTGTGGCTTGTTCCTCGAACATCTCTTGAGCCAGAACTCGATCTTGACGCTGGCAGATTCTCTCCCGCAGATAGCAGCCAACCTCCTCACTATCCTCATCTTTGCGCTCCGGGGATCGCGGAATCAGATACGCAGGCCTGATAAAACTTCCTCTCGTTCTATATACATCCCCTTCTTGCATATTTTCTGCCTGATAGTGTTTGGTGTTGGCATTGAAAAATTCACTGCGTTTGACTCGGATTCCCCATCACGAGGCCGGGGATATTTACCCCCGTCGACCTCTGTTTCATTCGAAGCTGAGAAGCAGTTGAACGTGGTCGATATCCTTGAACCTGCAAGGGCGTTGTTGGGCTGTTCGAATTGTTGCCTAGCTATGGCAGTTGCTACTTCGCATGCTTATCCAGGTTTCAACAACTCCAGCACATCACCCTCCATTTCCTCGCACACAAACCATTCGAACTTCGCAAACAGACAATCCGATTGCCCAGTGTCGTCGACTCATTCGGGTGCTTCTCACCCAGCAATGGCTCCAGCTCCTATGGCGAAAAGGTCAAAGGGGAAGAAGCCTTCGGACCCCAGCGAAACATCCAAACTGCTAGCAGCCAAAATATCACAACTCGAGCAAGACGCTGCGGGCGAAAAGGACCAAGAGGCTGAAATTGGTACGTTGTTCTGGGGGATTGTGCTCTGTCATTATTTTGCTCTTTTTGCTCCCTATGGCGCACGTTGTGGGTGATAAAAGGTTTTTGTCTGGAGAAGTCGAACATGAGTGAGGCTTACATGTCCTACTATGCTCTATAGAACGAGAAGTTAAGAAAGCTACTCGGGATCTGAATCAACTATTGAACAGCATAGAATCACCCGCAACACGTGTTGAGGCTGTCCAAAAGAGATATTCCGACCTTCTTGCAGAGATGAAAAAACTTGACCGAGATTATGCCAAGAGTAGGAAAAGGGCTGATCAGTTACAGAAGGATCAAGATAAGGGGAAAGCTGAGCTGAACAAGATAGCTACAATGAAAGACAAACTTGAAAAGCTGTGTCGAGAGCTGACAAAGGAGAATAAAAAAGTCAAGGTGCGTGTGTTAGTATCTGTGTGCTCCGTGGAGCTTTAAAAATAGGACTGATGGATAGATTATGGTTATAGGATGAAAACAAAAGGCTTGAGGAGACAGAAAAGAAAGCCCGTGGTTTAGTGAATGCACGACTTGACTCACTACTTTTCGACATCCAAGACTTCGTGACAGCAAGGGGTGACGCTCGTGGGGAGAAAGCCGATATCGACTTGGACGACGCGTGAGTTTAGCTCAGCTACAATTTCCAAGTATTATACTGTACACACTTCTAACGTGCCCTGCCCAGTGTTCGAGCGAAAATTAAAACGATTGGCGACAAATTTGAAGCTCGGGAGCATCACTACAAATCACTTCTTCGCAGCAAGGATGCAGAAATCCAAAGCCTCACTGCCAAATATGAAGAGCAAAGGCGTGCAGCAGAGAACGAGGCACACAGATGTCGAGCTCTCAGTACACAGGTCTCTACCTTTTCACAGACGGAAGCCGAACTACGAAGTCAGCTCAACATTTACGTAGAAAAATTCAAACAAGTGGGTGTTCCCGGCCATCATATGTTTGTATTACTTCTTGATGCATTTAATGACAAACCCAATAGGTTGAAGATACACTAAATAACAGCAACGAACTATTTTTAACATTTCGCAAAGAAATGGAGGAAATGGCCAAGAAAACGAAGAGACTCGAAAAGGAAAACATGACACTCACTCGAAAACATGAGCAAACGAACCGTAACATTCTGGAGATGGCAGAAGAACGGACGCGAAATAACGACGAACTTGAAAAGTGGCGCAAAAAGAGCAACAACCTTGAAGCTCTTTGCCGTCGGATGCAGGAACAAGGCCGGGGTCAAGCACTTGCTGGTGAGCTTGATGCGGTAGATGACGAAGGGACAGAAAGCGAATATGACGACGAATATGAGGATGAAGAAGACGATGAAGATATAAGTGACGAGGGAGAATATGATGATGATCGTCATCACCATCATCATCACCATGGTGAGCATCAACACGGCCCAGCGCCAAACCGACCTCCAGATGGGAAACCCGTTTTTGGGCCGCCGCCACCGCCTGCGCTGACGGAGACGAAATCTAATGGTCATCGCGGTGTTGTAAATGGATACAAGCATTAAATGAAAATAATGAAACAAAGATAAAAAACATGAACAAAATGGCTAAACACATAAGTAATATGAAGGAGCGGGAAAGGGCTATATATCGCATTTGTTGCTGTTCAAGAAGGTCTCTTATATTTACACACGTTGAATCGGCAATTGCTCAATGGAATAACTTTCGGCAATTCCTGGTGATATGGAGTATGGGGAGACGTTTGTTTTTGTCAATCATCACCCTCTCGATCAACCTCAAACTCCCTCTCCCTCCTTCTCTCTGTTTCTTTTTCTTTTGGGGTTCAGTCTTGTTGATCGTCAATCCCTGTCCCGAATTCACATCTATTCTAGCCACTCTAGCGCCCTACGGTCATATTGTATGCTAGTCCACAGGTACCACAGACCAAATTATCTGTCTGAAACATCGTTTGGGAACGTGGGCAAGCGGCAGCATTAGTGGTGTAGGCATCTGATACATGTAGATGGTTTGATAGTTCTAGCTCAAAGTTTCCTAAAGAACTCCCGCTACAATAAGACCATATATCTGAAGACACCCACAAGAAATGTAGGAATTCTATATAATATATAAAACTAACTCGCACAGGTGAGACGATTCTCAATACCATTTATATTGTATACGGGCATGACTCGACTCGAGTATAAACAACACCAACCAATAGAGAAGATAAAATAATTAATGCATCAGCGAATCCGCATGAGATCATCAATCATATTTATTCAAAATTACAGCTTGCTCTCTCGCCCCAAATACCCATGTCCTACCTTCAACATCTGCACCGCTTCCTTAACAATCTCCTCCACAATCTGCCTGGCAGGCTTAATATCCTTCACAACGGCAGCGACATGCCCCATCAAAAACGGAATATCAACTTCCTTCCCATCCTCCATATCCTTCGCAAGGGGCACAATCCCAGCTTCTGTTAGCTTCCTAATCTCCTCAGGCTTACTATGCCACTCCTTAATATAATCATTTGGAAGAACACGCAGCGGTCGCCCAGAGACAACAAGCGTAGTAGCGGTATCTCCAAAGCCAGCCCTAACCACAGCTTCCTTATGCATGCGGCTCGCCCCGCTCTCCTCAGACGCCACAAAGCGTGTGCCAATCCACACCCCCGTAGCACCCAGCATCAGCGACGCAGCCAAACTACGTCCATCATTGACACCACCCGCTGCGACGACCTGCGCCGGCTGTCCCGTCAAGGGACTCTTGTATTTCCGCGCAACATCCACGACAGCGGGGATAAGAACGGAAAAGGGCACATCACCAGTATGTCCACCGCCCTCGCCGCCCTGTGCACATATGATATCCACACCAGCCTGCAATGCCTTCTCCGCATGCTTCGGGGCACCCACCATATTCATAACCAAAATGCCAGCCTCATGTAGCCTTTTGATGACGTGTGCGGGGGGGACACCAACAGCTGAAACGAACAGCTTCGCACCGTGCTTGATAGTGACTTCAATGAGCTCGTCAAGTTGCCCATGCGTGTAGTCATGGTTTGTCTTGCGGGCACCCTTGCCTACTTTTGGTAAAGCCAGGTCAACGCCAAAGGGTAGGTTGGGGCTCTTCAGGTATGATTTTAGCTCTGTGAGCATCTCGTCGAGCTGGGCGGGGGTGTAGCCGAGTCCGCCTACGGTTCCCAGTCCGCCTGCATTAGAGACGGCGGCGGCGAGAGGCCCGCCAGATGTCCTAGCCATGCCGGCCAGGAGGATAGGATATTGGATTCCCAGGAGGGTGGTGAGGGGTGTGGTTATTTGAGCCATGATGAGCAGTATGTGTGTGTTTGATTTGGGAGTTGTGGAGGGGAGAGGCTCTATCGTTATGCCAGGCAGGAGAGGCTATCGGTGGATAGCAATTGAAGGCAAAATAAGACACTAAGGGGGCTGGTTTATATCGGTAGGTCTAACAGGATATGGAAACAGAAAATGGAATCAAAGGAGGTTCAGGCAATAGCTTCCAGAAAAGACCGGGGACTGCAGAACTGGCTTGACTGTGATTTATATTGTCCCTGATCCCGGGAGACCAAGGAATCCAGCCTAGGAGAGCAATGCTGAGCGCTGCTAACTATCCCAAGCTTCCGTTATTCTCCACTTTCTTCTCTGTGAAATCTCGTTGTCTTCCTTTATTGCGCAGCTCCTCCACAATGTTCCTCTCCCCCTCCAAAGCACCCAACTTCTCTTCCCCACAGTTTCTTGTTAAACCGCGGTTCAATTTTAGTCTGGGTATTTGACCTAATTAGAAAATATCTTTCACCGAGGCTGGGTTAAACTTAGCCGCATCTAAATCCGTGAACCCGCCAGCATGTGAAGGAGAACAAAGAAAGGAATGGTTAACAAAGAGACTGCTTTAACATTGGAGGCATTCCTTAAAATTACAAAAAAAAAAAAATACAATACTAAACTGAATACATTTTGGAGTGTTGCTAGGAAAATGGTTATTGTTGACTGGTTGTTGTTGACAGGTTTAAGGGAAGTTGAGAAGTTCGATCAAAATAACCCCTGAATATTTGACTTAGGGCAGCATAAATCACATGACCACCACCTCGGCAAAGTTTTCGCCTAGCGGAGGTTCCTCCGTGCGATGATGATCTTTTCGTTCGCTCTTGAGAGATATAAGCAGACAACTCGCTTGCAACTACACAGTCAACAGGGATAGGGGTAGATTAGGGACTAGGATTATTATATTTATAAATTTTTAAAACAAGATTAAAAAAAATCAACTAGTTAGTTAAATAAATAGTAAATTTAAATAAATATAAATTATCACTCTAATTAATATTAGGTTAGGATTAGGATTAGGAATAGGGGTTAGTGATATATTGGATAATGCCCACCCTTGTCCAAACACTTCTCATTTTCTATTGCATTGGATACATGTAACTCCTCGGTTCTACGTCTTTCATTGGGTAGAACGCGCCAATTCCTAGGGATTTTGCTTGCATATTTCTTCTTCTCTGATAGGGGTAGTTCTAAGCTTTGAGATTTTTATGGAGCTACCTTCTTTTGTTCTCAATGGCTTTAAAGGTTAATTCTAGAGAAGGTTCATGTAGGGCTGGACGTTAGTAAGAGGGGCGCGTAGCTAAAACTGGTATCGCAGACAGTGGACGAATATATAAAATGGGGATCAGGAAAAAGAGGAAAACTGCAAGAAGCCCCATATGCTATATCGGATTTAACAGATCTTTATCGATTTTCATTAATGCCCACCCCCGTCCCTGCCCCCACCCCCCATGTAAGGGAAACAAACACTCATCCTATCGAATCAAACAGCCCCCGGATCTCTTTCCCCCGCTTCGAAAGATTGATAACAATATCTCGTACACCTCTCAACATCCGTTAGAGGTCCATCGCCATCCAGCATCTTCTTGGCTACATCAGTCGAGTACATCGCAACACCAACCTCCTGACTCGTATACCAGCTGGCCCGATCCATATTCCCGCTGCCAAAAATAACCACCGCGCCATCAACAATCGTAAGCTTCAAATGCGTTCGTCGAAATGCACTTTCCCCATTTACATCCCGCCCCATTTTCTGCGCTTCCCAATACCTAATCCTTAACTCCCCTCTTTTGTTTGTCTCCTGGCCGCCCTCTTCTTCATCTCGCGCGCCTGACTTAAGCAACTTCTTATGTTGCCTAATCAGGTCCTTCATGCAACGCTTTGTAGTCGTCCCGGCCGTGACAAGTTGTTCCAGTACCATCAGATTGGTGTTCGTAACGATAGTGACATCAACGCCTCGTTCCAGAGCTTTCAGCAGCCCATTAACCACCGGCTGTGCTGTAATATTCGGCGTGATAATGTATATCTCCTTCTTCGCACTCGCGAATAGAAAGCTAGTGAATACATTTAGAGGTGTCCGTGGCTCAGGCACTGCACACTGGAAAGGGCATGGACGAAATTGCGGATCCTGATGGTGCGATGACGGTAGGAAAAGCGTAGTGACATCTTGACTTGAAGAGATGTTCGGAAATGATTTTATTAGTCGTCCTGGACTTTCTTGCAGCGGTAGGTTCATGGGAGGGAGATTCCCACTCGTGGTAGCCTGATCTGCGGTGTCCTGAAGCCCAATTCTCTGTGGAGGCTCTGGGGTAATTCCTGGAGCCCAGACCTGTGCCCAGCAGGTATAGAATTTTTCCACAATGCTGCCTCTCAGTCGAAAGGCGCCTTCAAACCATGACTCCCAGCTTACATTGCAACTGGGCACCCAAACGAACTTACGATCGACGATAGCGAATTTGGGATGCATGACGGAGAATGGCCGGATAAATATAGATTTCACCGTTAGATCCACACCCGGGATCTGTGATGGTTTCGGCAGCCCGAGTTTCTGATTCCATTCTGACGGTTTGTAGATGTATCCGTTTTCAGACTTGGTATGTTTTAACTTTTGCAGTATGGAGACGGATGAAAAGCAAAGATAGACTTTGATGTTTTCAACTGGAGTCGTAATAGGATTTGTCGAAGCTCGTCTTTTCCGAATGACCTTTGCAGATAGTCTTTGGAGCGTTTTGAAGAAGTGCTGGCGGGATTTCGACTTGGTCGCCCAAAAACAGGTGACGAAGATGACTTCCTGATCTGCAGTTTCAAGATCAGGAAGAATGTAATTGCTCAGTAGGCTGTCGCCTGTTCCTGTACAGAATGATGGCTCTAATGAGGCTGCTGTTGCTGAGTCTGCTAGGGAGGAGTGCTGGTGTGCTTCCAAAGGATCTGTTGCGATATGTTCACGCCATTTTCCGATGGAGTGCTGGGCGATAGCCATTGATAGAGTAACGTACATTAACTAATGTTTAATTCAATGGATTTCCAGCTTTGAAAAACTAGGTACTGATGAAACATTATTTGATGTTTGCTTGGTTGTCGTGTCTCTCTGTGTTCTTACAGAGATGGTATATGTAAGAAAAGGGTAACTAAAGCAACTATTTCGTTATTTCCTAGATGATGGAGGTTTTGTTTTCTTTCCATTAAAATAAATAATATGGCCATTCACATATATTAATGCCTTC